GGATCGCTGTTTTAGGTACAAATATACGTCTTGAAACTGACGATGCTTTTTGTAGGCAGCCTGGACAAGTATTCGGCATAAATTCCCTACAATAGAGCTCCAGGCCAAACAAATTGCTGCTTTAAGTGTAACTGAAACTGATAATTCTTATTTACTTATTTAATTTACATAAATAGTTAATGGTTTTCAATATTTTGTTGAAAAAGCTCAAATAAGCAAAGCAAAAAAACTTGAGTTTCAAAATGAGGTATCTACGGCAAGAGCTACGTTTTGCAATCACTTTCTGGTCGTGTTGATGGGAATAAATCTGGATAAATCTGGTTCAATTCCAGGTCAAAGTTCAATTCCAGGTCAATTTGGGTGTGTCGACACTGCTAGCGATTTCGATGATCTTGCAAACTGTCTCCGCGACAATGCCCAAAGACAAGAAATTGCCGCGAATCGGTGAGTTGCGGAAAATTCGTTCAAAAACGTTATGGTCCTGAAATCGTTTTTGGGTACAATCTCTTTCCATCTGGATTCTGGAGCCTGTAAGCTAGGCCAGGTATGGCAAGGTAGGGCTTTGGCCTTGCTCAGCCTGACTTTTGACTGGAAAATTGCTTTACAACACTTTCGGTAGAAAGAAGAGTTTCAAAATTGACCGGAGTAAAACATAAGACCCTTTTCTGATGAGTCTCGGTCCCGTGATGGTCATAAGACCCTTCCCTGATGAGTGGGATGCGTCTCGGTCTAGCTCATTGGCAGAGCGTTCACCCGGTAGGCGAGAGGTCGCGGTTTTTGGTCGTTCGAACGCGGTTTTTTGTATTTCCAGCTCAATCCTTAAAAGGGCTCGTATTTCCAGCTCAATCCTTAAAACAGGTCAAATCTTTAATGAATACTATTTTCTTCAAAAATGATTGCTTGAGAAAGATATTCTATGAAATCATGAAATGAAATTGTTGGCCAGACTAGTTTTCGAGTGTCCCTGTCTGAATTTTCAGTCCTTTTCTCAAAAACTAGTAGATCGTTCTGGGAGTTCAAAATACCATTCGATAGCAAATATTTCTGCGCACCTTTCGAAGTAAAAGCCATTACAAATGGCTTATTGGGTGAAGAGAAAATCTAAAAAGTGTAAAGGGAGAGTAGTGGCGCTTTGTGCTCTACCTTGGTGTACAGTTGAATATTCTGGAATTTTTATTGAAAACGTATGTAGCAAATGAAAATGGTAAAACTAGGCTTAAATACGCATATTTTGCAAAAGAAGGTAATAAAAAATAATGGAAGGGAGTCGAGATATGGATGGGAAAAAAAGGAACGCTTCGAAAAGTGTTCCCTTTCTTCTCACCCTCATATCTCGGCCACAATTGGGTCTTTTGAATTGATTTTTTTTTAAATATGCGCATTTGATTTTAGTTTTACTGTTTTTAATTGGAGAATAGATTTCTCGGAGGAATCCCAAAATATTTCAACTGGAAACAAGTGGACTTTAGGGGGAGTACTCTGCCCTCTCCCCCTTGACATTTTTTAGATTTTCTCTCCACCAAATAAGCCATTTGTAATGGCTTTTACTTCAAAAGATGCGCAAAATAATTTGCTATCGAATGGTATTTTGAGCTCCCAGGACGATCCACTAGTTTTTGAGAAAAAGACACTCGAAACTATAGACATAAAATTAAGAATTCAATTCTCGCAGGTGTCTTCATTTTGGCGGAAATGGTTTTGACGGCGGTTGCTGTGTTAATCACGTGCTTTTTCATGTTACTGCACGAGCGAGCTTTCACATATAAATGGAATCCGCCGAAAATTATGAAAATGTAATAGGAGAAAATGTTTTCCATAAAAGCTGAACATCTTTTCAGATGTCTACTGTGCAGAACGTACGATCGAAAAGTGAAACAACGAACGATATCGCAACAATATGAGGATAGGTGAGGGGATTTGATTGGAATTACTTAAAAGGATAAAAAATTAACTGAAATTAACGGAAATTAACGGAAATTAACTGAAATTAACTGAAATTAACTGAAATTAACGGAAATTAACTGAAATTAACAGAAATTAACAGAAATCCAACTTCTATTCACTAAATAAATGAAAAAGCAGCTTGTTTTTGATAAAAATGAAACCCGATCTTTTTAAAAATTCATCTAAATCCGTTTTTATTGTTTAATTGTTCAAAATGAACACAAAATACCTTTTCTGGTGTAAGCAAAACTTAAATTCATGCAAAATTTCGAAAACTAACAAATTGAGTGCCCTAGTTTGTTTACATTTTGCCAAATTTGCCCAAAAAAAAGAGACTACCAAGTTTCAAAATTGATGAGAGATTTTGTGAAAAATGAAAATGAAAATGAAAACTGAATTGCCAATGTGAATTGAAAGTTGATATTGAATTGAAAGCTGATTTATTCAAATTCCAGGCAATCTTCTCTTTCCGTGTACATTGACAGTATCAACAATTTCCTCAAAACGATTCGCTCTGATGAGTGTTTAGAGGCACAATGGACGAGGATTTTCGATCGTTTAGACATCATTTCGATGGTTTTCTTTCAAGTTTTGAATATTGTTTTGACTTGCGTGATCTTGTTTAGATAAAGACTTTATATGAGTTCAAAATTTCGGTTTAATAGTTTAGTTAGTTTAATAGTTTAGTTTCAAAGTGAAATTTCAAAGTCAAAAGTCTCAAGGAAATATTCGAATCTCATAATCAACCGGAGTACTTGGAAAAAAGCAATTAAAAAATGAATATACACCACATTGCACATCGGCGCGAAAATGCGTTTTCTATCGGATTTTTCTGGGAGTACCTTTTTTAGATGCGGAAAATTGTGCTGATTCCGAATCTGAAGGAATTTTTCAAATCCCTCTGACAGAAATTTTTAAAATTTAGTTTTAGCGGTTTTTTGGTCATTTTGTATGGGAAATTTTGTGGTACCCTGCAGTTTGGGACTCGTAACTCGACAACGAGGGTCTAGAACCAAAACCAAAGGGATAATTTTTATTCTAGAGACCCTTACGAACATTTTGATGCAAAAATCATCAAATTTGCTCAACTCTACAAAAAGTTATAACATCTTTAAAGAAATTTTGCAAAATACACTAAAAACATAAGGGGAAACCGTGGCCGAGTGGTCTAAGGCGCGCGACGTGAATCCCGCGCAAAAGTATGGGGTTGGTGGTTCGGCTCTCCCGAGCACTTGAGCTATTATTTTGCATATTCCTTAATTGTTTTGACTGAATACGATACATAGCTACATTGTTCTTTTGAATAAAACAATTGTGCAGTAGAGAATTTTTAAAATTTTCTCATTTCCTTTTTAAAAAATGTCATAACTTTTTGTAGAGTTGAGCAAATTTGATGATTTTTGCATCAAAATGTTCGTAAGGGTCTCTAGAAAAAAACTTATCCCTTCGTTTTTGGTTCTAGACCATCGTTGTCGAGTTACGAGCCCCAAACTGCAGGGTACCACAAAATTTCCCATACAAAATGACCAAGAAACCACTAAAACTAAATTTAAAAAATTTCTGTCAGAGGGATTTGAAAGATTCCTTCAGATTCGGAATCAGCACAATTTTCCGCATCTAAAAAGGTACTCCCAGGAAAATCCTATAGAAAACGCATTTTTGCCTTATTTCGCGCCGATGTGCATTGTGCTCATACTGCCCAGAAAATCGTCGATGAAAAGCTGACTGAAGCAAAGCAAGACCAAGGAAGAGTCACGGAGTTGTGCAATAAATGGTTCCCATTGTCGAAATGTTTTTACTTCTATTAACAAATAAATGTGACTGAAGTTCATCAACAAGAAGTCGATCTTTATCTTTAAGCAAAGAGTCCGGTGGTCCAGTTGGTCCAGTCCGGTGGTCCACACAAGACGTCCCATTTGGGCATCTTCGAGGAAAGTGAGTGTAGATCTTTGTCCCAGCCACATCACCCCTGAAAAAATTTATGACTGCTACTTGATTCGATCTCGATCTCACTTCAAATACACTTCCGAAATTAAAGATCCACACTCAGTTTCGCACAGCTACATTTTCTTTAAACCTCTATGACGAAAGTGAACGTTTTATTGTTCTCAACAAATCACCAGTCTTGCCTATTTGTGCATCGATTGAATCTTCCGGTCTGCTCAAACTATACAAGTGAAATCTTTATTAACAGTTAACTCCCTCTGGAGTGGGGGAGATCAATGGTTAGCATTGTGCGTTGTGGTGTAGTGGTTAGCATAGTTGCCCATTAAGCGGAAGGTGGGTTCGGATCCCGGCGGAGCCCAAGTTTTTGATCTCCCTTATTTCCAATAAGTCAAATTTTTTCAAGCAATTTTATTGGTGTTAAGTTGATCTGCCTTAGTTCCACTGATTGAGCAATTTGATTTTAAAGTTCCATTTCTAAAGTTCAGTTTACCAGTTCTAAAGTTCAGGTTACATGAATAGCTTAAAGCAAGCGGAGAAATAGAATTAAAGTATTTAGTTTAAACGATAAACGATCTAGCTAACGAAGTCACGAGTTGAACTAATTCCAGACATTCAAAGTTGTCAGCTTTTCAGTTGTTAGCTGTCAGCGTGTTTTATTACTAGGTTAAGAAAAAAGTCCACACTCAGCTGTGAAAAATTCAATTGCGCATTTTAATAAGAAATTTTATGCGCATTTTAATAACAAAAATAACAACAATTATTCCTTAAAGTCAAACCCATCATTATCCACGACTTTCTGCCATCGATCTGCAAGCTTTCGAGCTTTCGGAGCTTTCAAATCTGGTCGAAGTCACACTCCTTCGGTTTCGAATCAAAGGACCCTTGGCAAGCTTCTTCAACTTCTTCAAATGACTCGAATCGGCGAATCGGCGACAGAGGAAATGCTGCAATGATCGGAAGAAACCGTAGTTGGATGGGACAACGTCCGGACTGTAGGCAGGATGCGGAAGAAATCTCAACTCCATCCAGCTCTTCAAACTTGTTTTTAGTCTTTTTGGCGGTGTGGGGCTTCGCGTTGTCTTGTTGAAACGGAGCTCGCTTTCTTTTCCAGCAATAGCGGATCAAAACGCAAAGCTCTTTTTCTTGGAAACTCATCTGGAATACAAAGATGAACATTGGTACAACACTATAAGCGCGAAAAAGCCACCAAAAAAATGCATAAAAATTGAATTTTTCGCAGCTGAGTCAGAACTTTTTCCTCAACCCAATAATTAAGGAAACTTCAAAACAGGAAACAAAACAGAAACAGATAAACAAATATAAACTTTTGGAAGGATTTTATTTTGACCCTCTTTAGAGCCGATTTTTGTTTTGATACTGAAATCAGATTGTGCAATTTGGTGTAATTTGGAGAAAGTGTGATTCCAATTTCGTTGTCACATTTTTTGAAAAACGAACGCTTCCTGAAAAAAAAAATGCTGACTAATCGAAAGCATTTTCGAAAAGATTTCTTTTTGCACCTTATTCCAAGAAAGAATATGTGCAAGGTCGCCTCTATGGCAATGTGTTTTTTTTGTTTCTCTGCGTCTCTCTCAAAAAGCTCTGTTGTTTTTGTGCCTAAATCTCTCCTCGTTTTCCCCGAATCTCCCTTTTTTCCTCCATTTCTCCATTTCCTATTGCATCAGTCTTTCATTTTTTTCTCTCTTTCCTCCTCTTGCACTACAATATATAATAGTCTTTTTCTCCATAAATTCAGTCCATTTTTAAGCGACCGAACCAGTGATTTTTGCTTCAAACGCTTACATTTCTGATGACTCTGATGATAAAAATTTTGAAATTTTGATAACTTTTACTCTCACTATCAGAAAAATCTTTGATTATGTTCTTTTCCATGAATTTGTTTTAGGTGAAGTTTTATGAAGTATAGATCGAAATCGGAGTTATCTAAAATATAATAAAATAAAATCTAAAATCTTGTCAGCTCCGAGCCAAACTGATATTTTAGTTACTATTGTTATTATTGAATGATTTGTCTATTCTTATGCAAATGTGTCCTCCCCTGTGCTTATCCCTTTTATTGCAGAGAAGGGGCGGTCCTTGGGATTGCCTAGGAGGACAGTGAGGAGCCTAGGAGGACAGTGAGGAGCCTAGAAGGACAGTGAGGAGCCTAGAATGACAGTGAGGAGCCTGGAAGGACAAGTGAGACTCTCATTTGGAGTCCCCCCTTCCCCTTACACTTATTTGTAATCTATTCGTCTTATTATACTACTGTAAACAAAGATACATATCTTCCGGGTCTATGCAACTGCAGTACAGGTCGGTCATATTTCAGGGACTCCCCTCTAATACGTTGGAGGAGTTGAGTTGGGTTGTCGGGGGTGTTAGAGATGGCGGGATATCAAAAGGGGTCCACTCTCTTTAACTTAACCCAAATTCTAGTCCACATCCGTTTATACCTAGGAACGAATAATCTAAAATATCTAAAACTAAAGTCTAGAGATTTTTAACATATGTAAAATAGTGACCCAGTCAAAATAGCGCCCATACAAAAATATCTCCAAAAATACAGCGATTAGTTTTTTCAACTCCAATGTTTTTATACTTCTCATAAGAACTTGTAACTTTTGTTATTTTTAGAACATTTTTAAGCACCTTGCGTGTGTTTTGACAAACCGACGGATTATTCCATCATCAGAATCATGTTTTATGGCCCATTTAATCAGGGAAGGTCAAAAATGTTGACTTTTAACTATTAGGTTGGAAAGAAAGTTCTCGGAAAAAGTTTGCACGGTGATTTCTCAAAAAGCAAGCCATGAATTCTTCCCAGATTTTTTGATAAACTTGACTATATTTCAAAAGGTTTTTGACAAAAAAATCAGAGTGGGCTTAAGGTAAAAAATAAGAGATTTCTTCAGCTGAAGTGACTTGGTCACTTGTTGAGTGGCCAGCCTTTAGACAAGTTTTTAATTGGTTAATGAATAGGCAATGGATCCCATTGAAAACCTAAAAAGAAGTATTTAAATATTACCCCAGTTTTGTCAGTTATTTGGCTAATTTTACTTTTTATTACATCACTTTAGCTCTGATATGCTTACACAATAATTGAGCAATTCTGAGTTTTTCCTGTTCACCCTAGGGAAATAATTGCCAATGAAATTTTTCTAAATAAAAACCTGAGTTTACGATGAAAACTCTTTGATTTTTCTCTCTTTGATAAGAAAAGTTAGAAATCGGTTGATTCTGCTCATTTTTTTTAATCAAGTATCATTTGATTTTAAGGCAAAATTCGGGAGTGGGACAAATGCGACCTTTTTTTGCGCACCTGGACATTTGCGCACCTTTTTTTTGCTGGAAAAGGCCTTAGGCAAGGCCGTAGAGCTTCGAAAATATTTCCATACAAGGGAATCGCATGCGTAGATTCCGAATTTCGACAAATCAGACCTCGCTGACACGTCAAATTTGGGCTAAAAGGCAAAAACTGCGGAAAAGCGTTAAGTTGCGTAGTTTTTGCCTTTTAGCCCAAATTTGACGTGTCAGCGAGGTCTGATTTGTCGAAATGCGGAATCTACGCGTACGATTCCCTTCTGTGAAAACATTTTTGAAGCTCTACGACCATTCCTAAGGCCTTTTCCAGCAAAAAAAAAAGGTGCGCCAAAAAAGGTCGCATTTGTCCCACCCCCCAAAATTCAAAGATATTCAACCAAAATCAAGCGAATCATTTATATTTACTAGGCATAATTCTAAAGTCATTCATTCCGCATTTTTCTAAAAATTTACTTGAGTTTACTAGAGTTCCTTTTCAAAACATTCGACTCATCCTCAAAGCTTTTTGTTTATAGCTCTTTGCTTCTTCTTGTAGCTCTGTTTTCTTTGCTTCTGAATATTTTTTCGAAATTCTTCTGCTTCACAAGTGATTTATTTTAATTTCAGATCCAATCTCAACATGTCAACCACCAATGATGATCCAACAATGCACGCGGTTTTCCTCTTGGACATCACTGGTTCGATGTCAAACGAATTGGAGGGAATGAAAGAGACTGTCAGTTTATTCGTCCAGAACATCAACCCAGAGAGCAATGTGAAAATCCACGTGTGGACATTCACTGAAAGCAGCCAGGGTTGTTACGTCTCCAAATCACCAGACGTGAGCTTGAAAGAACTCGTTCAATATGTGAAAAAAATCCAACTCTGTCGACCACCCGATCAACCACATATCAACGCCAGTGGTGATGATGGCCCGGAGAATGTGCTGGCTGCTGTTGGTGCTTTGAAGGAAAGTTTCGACGAAATGACGAACATTCTCTGCTTTGTGATCACCGACGATAAGCCGCATCTATTGGAGAATCACAGCGGTCGAACTTATCGTCATGAGCAGGACTGGCTTCGTGCCAAAGGCTTCCAAACCACCGATGCTTATGAGATTCTGAACGACATCTCCACCTATTTCCAAATCACTTTCATCCCGATCATTGGCCAGCAGGCTGAGGCTTGTCACTGGTATCATCAGGCAGCCAACACAACGAACGGATTGGTGTTGTCGATGTCAAGAGGAAGAGGCAGTGCTTTAGAGTTTGCCAACGGCCTATTGGCACTTCTCGCTCGTATGCCTGGCTTTGAGATGAAAAGTGAAGAAGTTGTTGATCCAGAAGAAGACTTTGAGAGGTTGAAAGCCTACACGATTATCACTCCAGAAGCTCAGCTCGTTGTGCTCGAACAAGATAATCGTCAATCAACTCAAATCAATGTTAAACACATTAAAAACAGCGACGAGTTCCAGTTCATTTTCGAAAATTTCATTGAGCTGACCAATGACAAATTCGGTGGGAAACGGGCCGCAAAAAGAAGCCGAATTGCTGATGAAAGTATTCTGAAAATATCGGCTCAACTAGCTGTGAGAATCGTTCAACATTCTGTAAATGCTGAAAATTCTGGAATTGAGGAGCAAAGTCAAGAACAAATTGAACAGCAGTTCACCGAATTGTTGAATGAGCTAAAAGTGATGGAGAAACGGAACAAGTTCAACAACTTAGCCTACCCGTATGGAGCAGAAGTTGCCCGAATTGAGTGGTTGAGAAAGAACTGGAAGAGCTTCTCACAGAAGATTCAACTCCACACATCGACTCTTGATTCTCAGAATTCTTTGTTGAAGTGCATCTACTCATTTTGCACAATTGCCGACGCTTTGACTGAATGTGATCATTTAACAGAAATTGGGAAGCTGAAAGAGATCTTGTACTGCAAAGCGATTGACGTTCGCTTTCCGGTGAACAACGATGGAGAGCCGGATTTTTATGACTCGTGGAATCTCTCCTTCAAAGGGCTCGAACATTCGGATATTCTTCAAGTCGCAAGTGCCATCGATTTGGTGAACAGTCAAAAGAGAGAGTTCGTTTTTGCAGACGATGATGAGGAATATTATGATGAAGAAGCGGTGACAGAGATCAAATTCAAAGATGCAATGTCTTCAACAGAGCGAAATGCTTTTCTTTTGATAGCTCATCCCGATGATCTCTTGGTGACCGCTATCTACCATTTGGTCACTTCATTTCCAATGCTCTCTGGCTTCATTCAGAGCAATTTGGTCTCCGGTGGAAGCCGAATTTTTCCATCATTGCTTATCGGATTGCAAAGTTCGGCTCTTTGCTCATTGCTCAACAAAAAGGCTTTTAATTCGACAAAAATTGGAGAAATAGCCACAATTAAAAAATTCCCCGTTCTTCCTTGGAGACTAATCCGAACTTTGAAATGGTCAATCCTTCAAAATGCTGATCATAAAGTTGTTCGCTACATTGCAGATGCTGTCGAGAATGAGAAAGGATTTCGGGCTGGGGATCCGATTCCAAAAATTATTTCCGGAATCATGTACTTTTTTGCTAAACAGCACGACTCTGCCACTGTTTGGACCAATCTTTTTGTAGAGATCGCTGGTGAATTTGCGAGTAAAATCGAAACTGCAAGAAAATCAAAGCATCATTTCCCTAGTGCCAAGGAAATTTGTGAAGTGATTTTAGGAGAAGATGGAGTCACAAATGGCTTTGATTGCTTGAAAAGCATTCACCCTATCGAGCGGCTGATTGTCGGGAAAAAAGCTATCGATTTCTCCAATAAGCGTCACAAATTGGAAGAGTTTCTCAAAGATAACTTCTCTCTGAAGAGACTTGCCAATTATTTCTATCTCATTTGCGATTCGCTTGAATTTGATTCAAAAATCGAGAACCAAAATGCTTTGGAGTTGTCTTTCCGTGATCGAGTTGATCAAAAAGATTTGCTAAAGATTTTTGTTGATTCGTTGATGTTGGGTTCTCGTACAGAACGATATGTTGATGAGGGAAAGAAGGATAATGTTTGGATAAGACTTGATGAAAAACAATTGAAAGGAAAGCTAGAGCGATGTGCACTGCAGTTAGTGAAAGAAGTTTACGATTCAGACAAGAAAAAGTGGAATTTTGAGAGGACAAAAGTAGCTAGATCTACACTGATCTCAGAACTGTTGAAGATTCCAATTCATTCAATTTCTACACCAACCACATCAGAGACAATCAGCCAAATCGATGTCGAGATCAGCAAGATCTCCTGGTCACTCGAGGATGAAGTTTTCCAATTGAAACGATCGGACTTCTTGGAAATTTTTGAGGCCTTGAAAGAGGTGAACGATGAGAAAAGATTAGCTGTGATGTTGCCAGTGCTGTGTATGGGAAAGAAGTGGACAACCGAGTCAGCAAGTATGTTGAAAAGACAGCAAGATGAAATCGAGAAAGCTCTCTCTTCTCCACTAATCGATCCATTAATCAAAACCCAATGTCTCCAAGAGATTCGCTCAAAGCCGGTCTGCTTGAGAGTTTACGAGGAAAAGGGTTGTAACAGACATGGACATCACTCGAAAAACTTCTATCCTGGGTTGAATGGATGGACAGAAGAGTACGCGAAAGAGCGATTGAGATGTCATAAACCGTGTGTGTATTTGGAAAAGAAGCTGAACGACCTGAAACATTTCACCGAATTGACATCCAACTACCGATCGAAGACATTCGGAAAAGTGAGAAAAGCAATGATTGAATGTGTGCTGAATTTGGACATCAGTCCACAACAGATTGAAATAGTGGAAAAGCTTCTGAAAGAGATTGAAAAAGCCGATTGGATTGATACGAAATTTGTCGAAATAACGGATGCAATGAATGAGACAAAGATCCTTTCATCGACAGTTGTCCGATCGCTTCGACGAAGAGTGAGGAGATGTCGAGAAAAGCATATAGATAAGAAGGTCCCTCAAACTTGTTTCTGTCAAGCGATCAATCTTTGATCAATCACTCGTTTCAACGTTGTTCTTTAAATTAATTTAATTTATTTTTTTCCCCTAGTAGTTTCCAAATAGAAGAGCTTTATTTAATGTTTTTCAATGTAAATACTATTGTAAAAGTTGTTCTTTTTTCATTCAGTTTCATTGAATTTGTATCAAATTTGTTGATTTTGATTGCTGTTAAGTTTGAATAAAAATTAGTAACTTTTAAATGAAAAACTCAAATCACGCAAATAAAAAAACATTTTCGATTATGGGAACAAAAGAAAAACTGTGAAAAGAGTAGTGTTTAAAATTTGAAATCGACCAAATATTATTTTACCTCTTAGTTAACTTTCCGTATTTATTCTAATAGAAGCACATGTGATTCTATTTTTGAAGCCCCTCGCCAAAATCGCTTCTATTGGAGGCTATGCTTCTATTCTTCAACCGCTCACGAAAATTGTTTATATTTTTCAAATGTTTAAAGAACAATCAAATAGGTAGGTAGTATTCGGGCGCGGTCGGATCGACGAGAACGAGATACCCATGCGGTAAGAGACGATAAACATTGTATCGCTTCCGATCGTCAAAACAGAGTTGAGAAGAAAGCGGTCGAAGGAGTGGCGATACTCCGGTGTGATGGAAAAACGAGCGACGCATTGGGGGAGGTCTTCGACAATGAGAAGATAGGGATTTAGCCAACGTTTGTTAGTTCATTGACAAGTTGACTTTTTTGTTCAAGTTTTAAACTTGTCTGATTCCCTGATGTTTTTCAAATAAAGGGCTTAGACTTAGGGCTTAGGGTTTAGGCTTAGGTTGTCTCTTGCTTGGTTTTCTTTCTTGATTAATCGACTTACAGGTCACAGGGAGAAAAGTGATTCATAGGGAGAAAAGTGACACGTTTGTTGAACAACTTGAAAGCAGATTGATTAACTTCAGCTGCTGTTCCAGCGATTAACATTTCGTAAGAAAAAGTGTAAGTAAAAAAGACGTGATGTAAGTAAAGAAAAAAAAACGTGCTGCACAAAACAACACAACAAAATCCATTAAAGAATTTTAATGAGTGTTTATATGAATCGCTGGAAATAGCTTCTTTTTGTTAAATGTTTATATCATTCGTTTTTTTCAAGGCACAATCACAACTAGTTGAATGCTCGTCACTTGGTTTCAAATCGAGAAGAAACGCAAGACAAGTCATCATACCGGAAACCATCTAGAATTTGAAAAACTGATAGGCTTATTAGAACTGATAGGCTTATTAGAACTGATAGGCTTATTAGGCTTAGAATTGACTACAACTCAACTCAAACTGCCATTTATCAAGTCTATTCTTGAGAAAATTTGTAAATTTGTTGCCAATAGTCAGATTCACCGTGAGAATGAGCGGCTTGGTGACTCGGGTGAAACCCCAGAGAGTTATGCCGAGATCAGGCTGATCGAGATGAATGGCCAGGGTGAGGGCAATCTAAAAAATTAAGATTTCTATATTTTTTTAAATTTAATTGGCTCTTGTGTAGTCTCCAAGAGTTTTGTAATAGGCTCATAAATTTCATCAAAGATAAAGCTTGACTCGATCAAACCACCAAGCACTTTTTTTTCTATCATTTAAGCTGTCTACAGGTTTATCTACAGTCTATAGGTTTGTTACAAATCTAATCATAAAACGTACTATAATCTCTGAGGTAAGTTACAAGTCTTTAAAGCGTGACTCTACGTTTAAAAATCCCAGCTTCTACGCAAGAGCCAGTAGTTGACCCAGGTGACATTTCACTTGTACCAGCTACCGTAAAAGCTCTAATAGAAGACCCGGGTCTTCTACTTTTCAACCGCCGAAAATCGACCGGTCAAAAAAGTAGGTAAGGGTCCGCCAGATGAATCAAAAAAGTGTTTTTTGTTTTAGGCTTTTGTTTTCAAATTTTGCTTCGACAATAAAATATGGCTGAGATTTAACACTGTAAAATCACTAAAACTTAATTTTTTTTAAATTTGTCAATGGGATTTCAAAAAAATTCTTTCATTTTCGGATTCAGCATATTTTTCTGCGTCGAATGGCTATTCAAACGTAAAAATCCTATAGAAAACGATTTTTTGCCTTATTTCGCGCGGATGTGGAAGAGGCCCGTACCTGAGGGGAATTTGGAGGAGGGGCAAGGGGCATTTGGGGGAGGGCCAAGGGGGCATTTGGGGGCGCAAGGGGGTCACTTGGGGGAGGGGCAAGGGGCATTTGTCCCTCCCCTCCCCCCGGGTACGGGCCTGCGCGCTTCGTGCCGATTTTTGTCCGACCTTGCCCGCTTGAAAATTTGTTCGGGGTATGGACCTAATGTAGAGGGGTCTTCTATTAAACTTTTTACGGTAGTATGACACCCACCTTGTTGAGACTCTCCTCATATGGTAGCCAAACACTGTGATTCATACAGAGAAGCGTTTTCGATTTATTTAGCTATTAAGCTATTTTCAATCAACTCATTCAATTAAACTCACTTCATCCGATATCCTCGACGAGTACATGATTGCATATAGCTCAAACATACAAAAGCCTACGGTGGGGAGGCTGGAAAAAAGGAGAGGTTGATCGTTGAAAAACAGTTCTATCAGCTAACTAGTTTGCTTTTGAAAATATTTTTCTTATTATTTATGATTGGAGGTACTAGAAGGTCAGTTGGTATCAATTCTTCACCTAATCAATAACTCCATCAGATTTGACCGTGTAAGGACGAGAGTGAGCACAAAAATCGTCAACGGGATCACACAAGCTGTCACCGAAAAAGCAAAGACCTATTGAAAAGAAAATTATATTGATCAAATCAATTCCTCACTTTATACAACTCGTCCATCGTTTGAATGCACTTTGTGATCTGGGTGTGCTCGTGGATGAGGGCCTCCAAATTTGCCCTTATTGACTCACTTGGGGAGTTGTTTAACTGAAATTTGAAAGTTAATTGCTAGTTAGTTGCTAGTTAGTTGCTATGATTATTCTATTGGGTTGGTGAATTGAAAACTGCGAGACTTTGAACTAAAATTTATTTAACATAAAACCATCAATTCATTCCAAATAATTTTCATTATTATTTCCATTATTATTGACGACTTCTGCCCATTTTACAGGCAATTTGCGGATTCCTCTTTCGTAGTAGGGTTTTGGTTTTTGTGTGAGACAAGTGTGAGACTCAAAAATGGAGGAATGTCCAGTTTGAGCACTTTCTTCAAAAGAAACCCATTTTGGTGTCAATAGGAAAGTTGTAGAGAATCAAAAATTAGGCTTATAGCCAAATTTCCAAAAAGATACACTTAGTAGTTTCGCTTAAAATGCAAGTTTTGTGAAAATTCATAAATTTAGCATTTCTTGAAAACCAGTTTTTGAATCGTTCTGAAAATTTGGCTATAAGCCTAATTTTTGATTCTCTACAGCTTTTCTATTGACACCAAAATGGGTTTCTTTTGAAGAAAGTGCTCAAACTGTGACATATGGCAATAGCCCGCAGTTTTCAATTCACCAACCCAATAATAAAAGACGCACAAAAAACGATAAAACCCGGCGCCACTCACCTGAGAGCTAACAAAATTGCACAAAAAGGAAACTGGAATTCAATTTGGTTTATTTTTATAGTTATGTCTATGGAATGTTCATGTTGTGGCAAAGTTTCAGAGATTTTACTTGAAAACTCGCGATTTTATGCAACTTTTTAGCTCTTATATAAGTGGGTTTCATCATTTTCGTGCCTTTTTTTGATTAGCATAATTACGGTATCTCGTTTTGTTACCTGATCAATTTTATAATTGTATTTCTTTAATTCACAATGTAATGCATTCGTTAGACACAAATAAGTGGCAAGGTCTGAAAAGGAGATTTCTTTTGGAAGTGGGTGAATGATGCTCACTCACTGTAGACGACTAGTGATAAGTAAAGTACGAAAAGTAGTGGTCGAACGTGGATAAATTGAGGATAATAAAAAAGCTGAAAGGAGAGAGAAAAAACCCACATTAGAAGAAGAAAAACAAACTCGGAAAAAGGACGGATGAACGAGTTTAGCCAACAATCCACTCCAGATGGCTAGATAAAAGACGAGCATCGTGATGAGGCTGTAGATCTGAGAATGCTCGTGTTACAAAGGATTATTGGTTTAAAATTGTTCACAAATTGCTCACAAATTGTGCTTTTTATACTGCCATATTTTGCAGAATGTTGAATAAAAAAGAAAAAAGTGAAATAAAACTGGCCACAAACCTGAAGTCCCCAAAATAGCTTTCGATTGCCGGAATGAATCCGTTTCTGTGACTGTAAATTGATTTTACTGTAACAATTAGAAAATAAAATAAGCTCAACTGAATAGTTTGAACTGAATAGTTTTTTAAAATGTAAATGAAATTTTTTTTGATATAACAGGATTGCATTCAAAAATCACCTCGTTAAGCTCGTCAACACCTCGAATTTTTGAGTGTTTATACATGTGAAAAAAGTGTTGAAATTTGAGATTTTTCTGCCAACGAAGTAGGAAAATCTGAAATGAAAAAAGAAGCTAATAAAGAAGTTAATAAAAAAGCTAATAAACAAGATAAAGAAACTAATAAACAAGATAAAGATAAATAAGAATATTTTTGAGTTTGACCAAAGAGAGTGACGATTGAAAGGTGATCGCCGACACAACCATCGTGCTTGGGGCGAGATTTGCGTGAAAGTCGGAAAAGAGAAAAAAGAGATCAAAGATGACAGAATAAATACCTGAAAATGTATATAAATAAGGGCAAAAGTCACTCGTCGACTCACTAATGAGAAGAAAAAAGCAAAGCCATAAGCGCTGAAGAAAAGGCAGCTCGTTGCATGATTTCACATCCACAAGAAAGCCCATCCACTTGAGCACCTGTAAGCAAACAAATGGGTTATTTGGCTTCGAGATAAGCAAAAATTAATTCCAACACATTCGGACAGAACCTATATAGCTATCCTTTTTGTTTAAATCTTCAATTTTGGGAAGCTAACTCTATTTTGAGCACACTAAACTTTTCCCTAAAGTGACTCGATTCCTTTTTTCGTCACTCGCATTTCGCCCTCGAAATTTCTTCAATGGTTCGATCAATTGAAACATGTTTTAGTCTATTTTGTAGAGGAGATTTACAACTTTCAAATAGTTTACATTCAAATAGTTTATAGCATTCATCGATATCAGGTTTCTATCGTTGGAAATTTGTGAAAATGTTGAAATCCACATTTCTTATGCATCTATCTAATAGATTCAAGGTCAAGTTCAGTTCAAGAAAACCAAATTCGCCGATCAAGTGGCGAGTTTTCATTACAGCTCACCGATAGCGTCTCATGTTAACAAACTTGTTGAAATTCGTGAAACTGCTTCTCGCCGACGTCCTCATCATCACGATCCAGCAAATAGCAACCGTCAGCCGCAAATAGTTTCCCATTTTTCTCGTCGTTTATCTTCATCGAGCCGTTCTTTGTGTTTGTTTTGACGAAATCCCGTGAATAGAACTCGGGTGAGCAATTTGCCTGAAAGCTTTTGGAAGTCAAATTTGAGAAAAGATCAATAAAAAAAACAACAACGAGTCAACTTTGAAAAGGCCGTAACGCCCAGTAATCAACAAATTTGAAACCTCGATTGTTAGTCTTTAACTTGTTTAGAAATTGAACTCATTTTTTTAATGAAATTATGAAAAATAGAAATTGTAGTTAGAAATAGAAATACAATTTCTTTTTTTCATAAAAACGAAAGAGACATTGCTTTTTTTAAACGATTTAGTGCAAATCGAAAGACAAAAATCAATTGAATGACTTGAAAATCCCTTGCAAATCTCAATTTATTCTTATAATCAAGTTATTCGTTTTCTTTTTGAGTAGCAATTTCTACTTGAAGCTGACCTGATTGTAGGATAATCGACGAACTTTTGAATCCATTCAGCTGATGTTTTGACAAATCGAGGTCCACCCAGTAAAGAAACGGAAAAAGGATCTTTAACTGAGAAAGAAATTCAATTCTTTCATCTGAAATGATATCAAATTTCACTATTTCGAGGGATGTGTAGAACAAAATGAAATATATATATATATATATATGCTTTATTCAGTTGAATAGCGACAAAACAAAATCACAATAATTACCCGGGACACCACTCAAAACACACCCAAAAGATAAATAGATGCCTCAAGAAAGGATCACAGGGCAGTCAAATCAATTGCCGAAATTGCGGCTTTAAATCTAGGCAAATCTAGGCAAATCTAGCCAAATCTAGCCATATGAAAATCGATGAGAACTTTGTTTTATTTAAATTTCTTTTATCTTTCTTTTTCTTTTTTTTTGACGTCGAACATCTTTTATTTACAAGGAAAAAAATGGAAAAGAAGAAGAAATTAAAGAAGAAAGAGCAATAAAATTTAACTCTTTGCTTAGAAAAGAATATTTATTAGAGTAAACTAAAAAGAGATTAGAATGAATGAAAAAAAGCGACAAAATTGAGATGTTGAATGCTTGCAGTTTTTGAACGACTAGCAACGCTTTGAGAGTTTATAACTTTGCCTAGAATTCATATTTTGATGATTTTTCTTTGTTTAGTCTTCTAAATGAGACTTCAGACTTTTAAATCATGACTCATAGAGCTGGTTTAGGCTACTCAAACTAGACGGATCCGGATCCGGACTAGACGGGCTACTAGACAAGCTAGTAACGCTTTGAGAGCTTTTAACTTTCTCTAGAATTCTGCGCTACTTTTTTGGACTTTTCTTTAAATTTCTCTAGTCCAATCAACCCTATGATATGTTGCTTGACAGACAAAAAAGTCTTCTCTAAAAAACGTGCTTAAAAATATTAACCCTAGGCAAAGTTAATAGCCCAAAACAAACTTTAGTCGTGTAACTTTAGTCGTAAAGAAGAATGCAAAAAGCGACAAAATCTGAATCGTTAATAAACGAATGAAAACCATCGCAAAAGATGGACTAGTTTTTGCTCTTCAAAAGCTTTTCAGTTGAAAAGTTGAAAATGAATTTTTTTCCACGAACGAACCTTTCCTTTTCGACCCCGGTAACACACGCTTTATTGAAACGAAAATTGCCACCTTGAAACGCCCAATTTAGTCAGTCGGTTTTGATAAAGTTTATCTTAAGAACGCTTTCAAAGAGTTGATCTTTTTCTTAAAATTATTTAGCTTTTCTTTGCCTCAATCTACCCTCATTGCCTTTCATTGGGGGAACTTGATTTTTAATCCATTTTTTTATTGTCACAAGTTTGAATTTTCGATTTAAAGACGTTGTTCAGTGGTTTGAGATTGGGAGATTAGAGCCCGGCACGCCACCTCGGCCCCCTGCGGCGTTGGTCTCGTCTTACACAATGGGTTGAACGGATGGAACAATAGGCTCGTCCCATCGTCCGCTGGGCTCCATCGTGGCAATCCGTCACGATCGTCCACATTAGTGAACAATTTGTAAAATCTTATGTCTTTAAGATCTTAGATTTTAGAATACGACGATGAAAACTTTCCTAGTAAATAAGTTCAACTTAAGGAATCTTTTCCGAGAATGACTCGGAAATAGAGTAGCTAAACAGAGATTAAGGCTTACTCGCAAAAGTTCCAGTAATTCGTCGATGTCCGTGCGATGAATGATGAGTTCTTTCAGAAATAGGGTAATTTTGTTAATTTTTTTACCATTACCATCTTCAGGTAGAAAAGTAGGAAAATGGAATAATTTGTTCAGATTCAAATGATTGCACACATGCTTGCCTTAATTGTCTTGCTACTAGGGAGGGTTTTTCAGTTTTAAACTTTGACGACTTTTGCAACCATTAAGATTTGATGTTTTCAACTAGAACTTTGGCCACATTAACTATAATTTTGTTAATGATGTTGAGGAAGAAATAACTGTTTTTAGCGCAACACAGCGTGGTGTTCGCTAGCTTCCGTGTACTTTGATGTTTTCGTAATTTTCCACAATTTCGAGTATCAGTCCGAACTGTGAGTCCAAAACTAAAAAAAATTAGACACAAATTTATTGTTCTTATTTAGTGTAAATAAATAAATGTTTTATCCCAAAACACTAGAAAGCAGAATAACATAAAAACACACGAATCAAGAGACGACGAATTTTAAAAGTTACACCAAACCGATAAAGCACTCACGAAGTATAAGGGTTCGGTTCATCCGCTTTGCCAGGTCGTCTCATTTTCGTATTCAAAGAGCATATGTGGGAACCTAGGAATAAAAGTTATCAAGTCAGAAAATGATAGTGATTTACTCGAAGTAGATTCCGAATTTCGACAAATCAGACCCCGCACAATGGCTAGAAGGCAAACGGAAAAGCGTTGGTTAGTTTGTCCCCCCCCAATAGCAAAATACCCTTTTCCTTCTGTAGGACCCTTAGGGGCTTTCGGCGGGGCGGCCCGTCGCCTGACGACGTCTTCTCACTGTATCCGTCTCAATGAGTGGATTCGGGAAGTCGAGTGGGGTCCCGGGTGGTAACATTTGCTCATTTGCCTAAACACACACTAATTTTTTGTAATTAATGTTTATCTAGGCCAATAGTATTCTAATGAAAATCCGGCACTTTACATGATGTGCGTAGTTCAAAAATGAAACCCACTTTTCCAGCCGCCAACCTTGGCGTCTCCAATTCGACTGCGGCTTTTCGCTTTACTGAACGTGGCACAACTAAATTTATCTTAAGACCTTTTACCCTTTAAAAAAGCACCTTTAAGAGTTTCAGGCGCTAATTTTTTTTATTGACTTCGCTGTTGATGACGATGGTTGTTCGGCTTTTGGAGTCGCGTCCGGATCAAATGGCTCTTCCATGTCCTAAAATATACCAAGACCGTATCATCTTATCACTCCCTCAAAAGATTCTTAAGTAACCGTAAATTGCTAATTAACTCACTAAATTCACAAGTGCCTAAGTCTGCCAATTCTTTATCTCATTAAATTAAAGTCATTAAAGCATGATCTAGAAAACCTTACCCAATATCGCTCAAAACAATTGTAAAGTCCTCTTTGTGCTTTTCCATCGTCTCGATTCAACGTTTAAAGATTTAGATTTGAGCCAACTGGCCAGGTTTTTTCTAAAAGATCAAAATGTAATTATAAAACAAAATGCATAGCCTCTTCTAAAACAAAAATTTTCAAAAGAAAACCTTTATTCTTTCGTTCAAAATCATCTCCACACGTTCATTCTCGGTTGCCGCTTCGAGCGCGTGGAGACGTTCGCTAAATAATCTAAATTTATTAACAAAATTTGTTTAAAACCTTAGGTCGGAAGTTTTCCTTTCGCAGACCTTGTTTGTCTTTGCCGTTGGCCACCTCGAGCCTCAAATTGTCAATTTGCTGCACCATAATTTTGTTCGTTTGCTGATATCCGATGGGTACTAAAAATAAAGTGATTCAAAGCCTTTTAAAGATTTGATGGCTTCTATCAAAACCTCTATATAAGTGAACAAAGTGTAAAGTGAAACTGAACTTCACACTCACAGAACCTTTAAAAGCTAGCACAAAACATACACACCGTTATTTTCCTTTTCAGCTGTAGGACCCTTAGAAGCGGCTTTCGGCGCGATTGAGTCGAGCACCGTCGATCCGGAGCGCATTTTGAGGGGAGATTCAGGGGAAATCGAGTGCTTCTTCCCATTCTCCGACATTTTCTAAAACGAAACTTTAAAAGAGACAGAATTATCAAACAAAAACACATTCTATGAAAGAAAGAAGCGACGTTACAAGAAGTTTTGAAGAAATCTGGCTCCCACCAGAGAATTTTAGAAAAGCTACGTGGTGAGACTGGTAAATTTCTTTTCGTAAAGGTAAAGTTAGAAAAAATAAAATGAACTTTTCAGGAAAAGACAGCTTATAAGCTCGAAAAAATTCAGTGCAGAAAAAAATAAAAAATGGCTCTACTGAATTTCAGAAATGTTCATTTTCTAAGTTTTCTAGGGAGTGGGACAAATGCGACCTTTTTTTTGCGCACCTTTTTTTCGCACCTTGCCCCTTAGCGCACCTTTTTTCGCGTTTTAAAAAAGCTCTAAAAAGCTAATATTAACCAATTTCTATTCCAAAAGTTGTTTTTCTAGGTAATTTTAGGGCGTAGAATCGAAATTTTGATATATCAGAGCGTGTGGAAACAAACGGACGGAGTTATACAAAGAGAAAAATCGACAATTTTCTGTAATTTGATCTAGCCGTTTTGTCTTTCAAATTGGTTCCACACGCTCTGTTATGTCAAAATTTCGATTCTACGCCCTCAAATTACCTAGAAAAACAACATTTGAAATAGAAATTGGTTAATATTAGCTTTGAGAGCTTTTTTAAAACGGAGGTGCGAAAGGTCGCATTGTTCCCTCCGTTTTCTAAATGAACTAAGCCTAAAAATGACTACCAAACCGCCCATTTCGGGGCAGAAACCCCGAAGCCCCCTTCCTTACTTCCAATAGCCTGTTAAACAAAAATATAGAATATTATGTGAGAAATTGTCGTTCTTTCCCAATAAATGTTTTTCTTTTGTTATATGGCCTACCAATCCGTTGATAAATGGCGGATCCTACGGTTATGAATCAAACCGGACATTATCTTGGTTTAATTATGTGTTAAATTTGACTTTCTCAAATATTTTTGGCTAACTTTTTTTTACCATTTCTTTCTGGCATTTTTGAATTTGTAGATATTGGTCAATTAACTTATCTCATTCAGGTCTCTCGAAATGCTACCGGAACTTCTGTTCTTCAAGGATCTGGATTCTTTTGAGCTGACACCTGAGGATTTGGAGATAGTCTATCTAAAGAAACATTTTCGTTTCAACTATCCGCTCAAATCGAACAAACGGAAATACTGGGTGCAATCATTTCCCAGGTTTCAGATCACGATTTCTGACATGATGTTGCAGGTAGTTTAAGTTTTACATTCAAAATGGATTCTTTTTAAGACTGTGGACACGACTGAAGTTTGGCAGGACGCTCTCCTGGTCAATTTGTCCGTCGATTTTGAAGATGTGGCACAGCTAGGAGAGATGGCCTCAAAACTCAAAAACATGGGAGGCTATAAACAGGTTTCTATTACCTTGATCGTGTAGTCCGTTTACGCATACCCGAGAATCGAGTCGAAATTGCTTGTTTAGGTGCGCCCAAGTCCGAAAATCACTTCCGAAGACGAGGAATTCTCGAGTGATGGGGATGAAGAAAGCGATGAGATGGATCTCAACATGTGGGTTGTATTTGCATTAAAGGATAGCTCATTTACATTTGAAAAACTAGCTGATAAAAGCCGAAAATTTTCAATCGTTTCAAAGACTTTCTTCATCAGTCAACATTCTTCGTGACCCTTTTTGATTACCTTATTTCTTCTAATAACCGCCGCACTAAACTGATGAAGCCCTGCCCCCTCACCTGGGAGACAAAAAGTTGCACCAAATTGCGGGTTTTTACCTAAGAGTCTAAAAAAGTTACACCAAATAAATCTTGATTAGTTATCCTCGTATTATTCGCCGATTTTACATTTTTCTTTTAGTCTCATCGGAATGGGACCCAAAATCATGTTTCATGATGTTGCTGCAGGTGTCACGGTCAATGCCAACCATTTTGAACTCACCTATGACGGTGAGAAGTATCGCTTCACTCACGGCAACGTGAATCCTCCGCAGCGGCGTCGAAAGCAGCAGCAGCTTCCTCGTCAATTTACCACCAAAGGCGGATTGAACTCTGTACCGACTCGGTCATCTGCTCATATGCTAATCCCGGGAGTAATGTTACAGGTAGGAAATTTCCCTTATAGGTTGATTGGTTGGATTATTTTTAGAAAGAAGAACCCCTCAACGTCTGGCACGATGTGGACACAATGGATGTTTACATTGAATTCGATGGGGCTGGTTGGAGTCAAGCTTGTAATGATTTGATGCGCGGTTTGGAAGCCCAGGGATACGTGGATGTTTCACGAGGTTCGGTTTGATGTTTTAAGAAATAGCTCGGATTGATTAAATCTATTTGCAATAATCACTCATAATCTATGTAGGACGGAGCCTTTACGGCGAGTCATTAGCATTGATCATATGAAGATTCATTTTCCTCAGTCTTTGATCGTCAAAATATAATAATTGTGTCTAGATTTTGATTTTGAGACTTCACGTTTCATTGATTTTTTCAGGATAAGCTGCGGAGACTATGGGCAACAATTACTGATTCGACAGGATCAAGCTTCTGTTAAAATTTTTGTCGTTCTTGCCCAATAAATGTTTTTCTTTTGTTACATGGCCTACCAATCCGTTGATAAATGGCGGATCCTACGGTGATGAATCAAACCGGACATTATCTTGGTTTAATTATGTTATTATTAATTGTTTTACTTTCATTTCATTTTTAGGCATATCAACATGGCACCGCGAATCTGTTTTTTTCAAGTGAATTCACCATTCAATGTGACGAGGGATCACTTTGAATTCGCCTACGGCGGTGTAGCCTACCGCTTTCGTCATTGTCAGCAAAATCGACGACGAGGACGAGGCGGTCCACGATCAGGGTCACGAAGCTGACTCCATTTCTCTGTTTGGTGCTCAAAATGCTTCAGCTTCAGCCAGATCGTGAGATTGTAATGGAGTTCATAAAACAGGACGAGTTTAAGTAAGGTTTTTGAAAAAAGGATTAGGTTTAAAAAGTGATGGCACCACCTCTAAAGTTGTTTTTTAGATACATTCGAGCTCTGGGTGCTCTATACTTGCGAATGGTCTTCCCGTCGCTTGACACGCTTGACATCTACAATTATTTGGAGCCATTGTATAGTGACTTTCGAAAGCTTCGGGTGGTGATATGGGCAGTAGGTTTTTAAAACTTCATTGTTAAATTAACACTCTCTTACTAGGATTCGAATTGATGTATATGGACGATTTCATTGATATGCTATTGCGAGAAGAGTCCGTGTTCGACATCCAAATGTCACGCTTACAGGTAGCTTGTGGCTATTTTATAGATAAATTCATTTTTAGAAACGAATCGCTCTTGAAGAAATAGCGGCCATCGAGGAGTACAAATCGCCTCTTGACGAGGATCTTAGAAAGGTTTTCTTCTGACTTTTTCATTAATCTAGGGAGCTTTTAGGTCTCCGAGTCTGAATCAGACGATGATGATAAGGCCACGCGCAAGAAGGAGAGGCCAAGTTTGATTAGCCGAAAAAGAAGCAGGTACATTTTGACAAAGACTAAAAGTATAAGTCACAACGAAGCTAAGCCTATTATTTATAGTATTTTCCATGAGCTCATTCAGATCTCGAGAGCGTGGAGAGCGTGATCGCGACGATCGAAAGAATCGTGATAAGAAAGAAAGAAATAGGTTTGTATTGTCTTTGGTTATTTGTTTTTGCTAATTTGTATCCCTTTTGGTCGTCAAAGCAGTTGTTACTTTAGATCTCGTGAATGAGACCGTGATCGTCGAAGGCGCTCGAAGAGCCGTGAACGTGATGGTAAAGGTAGGCTCGAGTTTCTAGCCAAAAATTGAAGACTTGATGTCTGATCTTTAAAAATTTGCTTCCATCTGACATATGATCGACATTTTTTGAGCGAACCTCTAACAATTGTTTTTATTTAGATCGCCGTGATAAAGATCGAGAGCGTGGATGTGAAAAGGATCGTGGGAAACGACAAAGCTCATTGGAGCGTGAAATCGACGAGGCGAACGCTTAACGCAAGCAATTCGGATTGGCCCCTCTACAACGATGATCTCTCGAAAACTTTTTTTATTTGATTGTATGAAGTTGACGTTAAACATTAAATATTTTATCAAACATAGAAAACAAAATGGTACGGCAAGGATAATTCACTACAGCGCAGAATTTTGGCCCTTATAGTTAATGTGGCCAAAGTTCTAGTTTAAAACATCAAATCTTAATGGTTGCAAAAGTCGTCAAAGAAGTCAAAGTCAAAGAGATTTACGTTTCATTTTGAAATTACAATTTCGATAAATCGGGACTCCCGCCGTACCGAAGTACGGCGGGAGTTTTTATTCTTCGTTTCTTCGGTGCTCAGTTTTTTATGAAACTTTTGTTTCTCTCTTAAAGTATATATAAAATCGTAAAATTACAGTCATGGTCGTAAAACAAAAGTCTTTTAACGTTGGTTTTTAGAAGTTTGTTCTTTGTAGATCTTGATCCAAATTCGACCAATTTGCAAACGGTTAAAAGATTTAAAGAGCTTATTAAAGATTTAAAGGGCTTATCTCTAATTTTACATTACAAAAAGATGGATCACAATTTATCAGGTGTCATGAACTTTTTAATAAAACAAAAATTGGGCCAAAAATTGATGGACAAAAGTCTTTTAACATGTGAGAAAAACATTATGAAAATCAATACTTTTGACAACTTGACTTTTTTGTTCAAGTTTTAGACTTGTGTGATTCCCTGATTTCAAATAAAGGGCTTAGACTTAGGGCTTAGGCTTAGGTTGTCTTTTGCTTGGTTTTCTCTTGCTTGCCTGTCTTTTTTGATTAATCGACTGACAGGTCACAGGGAGAAAAGTGATATACACGTTTGTTGAACAACTTGAAAGCAGATTGATTAACCGATCTCGTAAGAAAAAGTGTAAGTAAAAAAGACGTGTTGTCAGTAAAGAAAAAAAAACGTGCTGCACAAAACAACACAAAAAACAACAAAATCCATTAAAGAATTCTAATGAGTGTTTATATGAATTGCTGAGAATAGCTTCTTTTTGTTAAATGTTTATATCGTTCGTTTTTTTCAAGGCACAATCACAACTAGTTGAATGCTCTTCACTTGGCTTCAAATCGAGAAGAAACGCAAGACAAGTCATCATACCGGAAACCATCTAGGATTTGAAAAACTGATAGACTTATTAGAACTGATAGGCTGATTAGAACTGATAGACTTATTAGAACTGATAGGCTTATTAGAACTGATAGACTTATTAGAACTGATAGGCTGATTAGAACTGATAGACTTATTAGAACTGATAGGCTTATTAGAACTGATAGACTTATTAGAACTGATAGGCTGATTAGAACTGATAGGCTTATTAGGCTTAGAATTGACTACAACTCAACTAAAACTGCCATTTAACAAGTCTATTCTTGAGAAAATTTGTAAATTTGTTGCCAATAGTCAGATTCACCGTGAGAATGAGCGGCTTGGTGACTCGGGTGAAACCCCAGAGAGTTATGCCGAGATCAGGCTGATCAAGATGAATGGCCAGGGTGAGGGCAATCTAAAAAATTGATTTCTTTTTTTCTTAATTTAATGGGCTCTTGTGTAGTCTCCAAGAGTTTTGTAAAATTCATAACTTTCATCAAAGATAAAGCTTGACTCGATCAAACCACCAAGCTCTTTTTTTTCTATCATTTGAGCTGTCTACAGGTTTGTTACAAATCTAATCATAAAACGTACTATAATCTCTGAAGTAAGTTACAAGTCTTTAAAGCGTGACTCTACGTTTAAAAATCCCAGCTTCTACGCAAGAGCCAGTAGTTGGCCCAGATGACATTTCAATTGTAGCAGCTAATAGCGTAAAAACTCTAATAGAAGACCCGGGTCTTCTACTTTTCAACCCCTGGTCGGTCAAAAAAGTAGGTAAGGGTTCGCCACATGAATCAAAAATCTATTTTTTTTAGAAACTATTCTACGTAATAGCCCTTGGTCTAAAACGTGCAGAAAAGAAGTTAAAAAATGAAAATTTTTTCTTATCCAAGATCCTCGAACGATCTCCAATAAAATGAACATGGTCCCCCCTTACGAATTTTTTCAAAAAATTGACATTTATGTTTTAGGCTTTTGTTTTCAAAATCTTGTTCCGACAATAAAATATGGCTGAGATTTAACACTGTAAAATCACTAAAACCTGATTTTTTTTAAATTTGTCAAAAAGGATTTCAATAATTCTTTCATTTTCGGATTCAGCATATTTTTCTGCGTCGAATTCAAACGATTCAACGTAAAAATCCTATAGAAAACGATTTTTTTTTGCTTTATTTCGCGCGGATGTGGAGCAGGCCCGTAACCAGGGGCGGAGAAGGGGGGGGGGGGCAAGAGAGGCATTTGGGGGAGGGGCAAGGCAAGGGGGACATTTGGGGAAGGGGCAATGGGGCCATTTGGGGAAGGGGCAAGGGGGACATTTGTCCCTCCCCTCCCCCCCTGGTACGGGCTTGCTCGCTTCGCGCCGATTTTTGTCCGACCTTGCCCGCGTGAAAATTTTTTCTGGGTATGGGCCTAATGTAGAGGGGTCTTCTATTAGACTTTTTACGGTAATATGACACCCACCTTGTTGAGACTCTCCTCATATGGTAGCCAAACACTGTGATTCATACAGAGAAGCGTTTTCGATTTGTTTAGCTATTAAGCTATTTTCAATCAACTCATTTAATTAAACTCACTTCATCCGATATCCTCGACGAGTACATGATTGCATATAGTTCAAACATGCAAAAGCCCACGGTGGGGAGGCTGAAAAAAAGGTGGGGTTGATCGTTGAAAAATAGTTCTGTCAGCTAACTAGTTTGCTTTTGAAAATATTTTTCTTATTATTTATGATTGGAGGTACTAAAATGCCAGTTGATATCAATTCTTCACCTAATTAACAACTCCATCAGATTTGACCGTGTAAGGACGAGAGTGAGCACAAAAAATCGTCAACGGGATCACACAAGCTGTCACCGAAAAAGCAAAGACCTATTGAAAAGAAAATTATATTGATCAAATCAATTCCTCACTTTATACAACTCGTCCATCGTTTGAATGCACTTTGTGATCTGGGTGTGCTCGTGGATGAGAGCCTCCAAATTTGCCCTTATTGACTCACTTGGGGAGTTGTTTAGCTGAACTTTGAAAGTTAGTTGCTGGTTAGTTGCTATGATTATTCTATTGGGTTGGTGAATTGAAAACTGCGGGACTTTGAACTAAAATTTATTCAACATAAAACCATCAATTTATTCCAAATAATTTCCATTATTATTGACGACTTCTGCCCATTTTACAGGCAATTTGCGGATTCCTCTTTCGTAGTAGGATTTTGGTTTGTGTGTGAGACAAGTGTGAGACTCAAAAATGGAGGACTGGAGATGTCCCAGTTTGAGCACTTTCTTCAAAAGAAACCCATTTTGGTGTCAATAGAAAAGTGGTAGAGAATCAAAAATTAGGCTTATAGCCAAATTTCCAAAAAGATACACTTAGGAGTTTCGCTTAAAATGCAAGTTTTGTGAAAATTCGTAAAGTTGGCATTTCTTCAAAACCAGTTTTTGAATCGTTCTGAAAATTTGGATATAAGCTTAATTTTTGATTCTCTACAACTTTTCCATTGACATCAAAATGGGTTTCTTGTGAAGAAAGTGCTCAAACTGTGATATCTGACAATAGCCGGCAGTTTTCAATTCACCAACTCAATAATAAAAGACGCACAAAAAACGATAAAACCCCGCGCCACTCACCGGAGAGCTAACAAAATTGCACAAAACGGAAACTGGGATTTAATTTGGTTTATTTTTATAGTTGTTTCTATGGAATGTGCATATTGTGGCAAATTTTCAGAGATTTTATTACGGTATCTCGTTATCTCGTTTTGTTACCTGATCAATTTTATAATTGTATTTCTTTAATTCACAATGTAATGCATTCGTTAGACACAAATAAGTGGCAAGGTCTGAAAAGGAGATTTCTTTTGGAAGTGGGTGAATGATGCTCACTCACTGTAGACGACTAGTGATAAGTAAAGTACGAAAAGTAGTGGCCGAACGTGGATAAATTGAGGATAATAGAAAAGCTGAAAGGAGATAGAAAAAAAGCCACATTAGAAGAAGAAAAACAAACTCGGAAAAAGGACGGATGAACGAGTTTAGCCAACAATCCACTCCAGATGGCTAGATAAAAGACGAGCATCGTGATGAGGCTGTAGATCTGAGAATGCTCGTGTTACAAAGGATTATTGGTTTAAAATTGTTCACAAATTGTTCAC